TTTCTGGTTTTAAGTTCAGTCACTCTGAGCTGAATGCAGGTTCACTTGTGAAGGCCCTGCAAGTCAGGGTGGCTTTGAATGAATGTAGGTATTGCCCATCTCCAGAATGCTACCCCTAAACCCACCAGAATGCAGGAAATCACTTCTACCACATCCAAAATTTTCTGGGGGACGACCCCCAGACCCCCACTGTACCACCATTGTCTCTCTCTGTATGGTATTTGTATGTTAGGTATTAGGCCCTATCTATTTCCAGCAGGCGCCCCAAAAATCCATTAGGATGCGGGGGATCAGGATCACATCTACCAAATCAGTTGACAAACAAACATTTTATGTGTCGGCTTAAACAACAAAATTGTGGTCGGCCCCGCTAAATCTCACTCCAAGGTTTTTTGAAAAGTTGGCAACCCTATTATAATACTCAACATTACAAATGTACATTTGACCCATCAGATGTGTCACTGCTGAATAATTCACCCTGTAACACTCAAACAGCTTCACCTGTAAAAAAATGGATCCACAAATACATAAATCTGACTTCACATGTAACATATTTATATGTTTGGAAAACCTGTGACATTTTATCTGACATTAAACATCCTGTTTACACAGGAAGTTACATGTGTTTTAAGTCAGTGTGTATTTTAGTTTATATGATTTTGATGACTGGTGCCGCTCCTCTTCATGCTGTGTATCAATGATTTTATGAATTCCTCCTGCAGTCTACACAAAGTTTTATTGGCTGATGATACAAATTTCTTTTCATCTCATAAAAATCTGAATAATCTAAAACACATTTTAAACAAAGAACTGATGGAGGTGGATATGAAGGTGGGCTCAAGGTTTAAATGCAACAAATGATCCTCCAGTATAAGGAAGACGAGCTTCATTATTTTTCAATCCAGTTGAAATAAAGAAAAAAACATGAACATGTTTGTATCAGAATAAATATTCAGGTCACTGACAGACTAAATTCCACCAAATTCCTGGGGACACATACTGAAGAATTTTTAAGCTTCATGTATCATTTTGATGAACTGACAAAGAAACTGTCCAAATACGATGACTTATTTTTAAGCTGACTCTAGTCACTTAAAGCACCTTTAACCTCAGACACGTCTTAACTGGAGCCTCAAATACATGACTGTAATGTTTCATGGTGAAACACCTCTCCATGTTATCTGATGAGATCACAGAATCTACAGAAAACAGCTATATGTGTCGTATCCTGGTCCGAGGTAAGCACTCCCACTGACCCTCTCTGTCGTAGGTACGATCCTCTGAAGCTCTCTGAGTGTAATCAATCAATCAATCAATCAATCAATCAGTCAATCAATTTTATTTATAAAGCCCAATATCACAAATCACAATTTGCCTCACAGAGTTTACAGCATACAACATCCCTCTGTCCTTATGACCCTCACAGCTAATCAGGAAAAACTCCCCAAAAAAACCCTTTAACGGGGAAAAAACGGTAGAAACCTCAGGAAGAGCAACTGAGGAGGGATCCCTCTTCCAGGACGGACAGACGTGCAATAGATGTCGTACAGAACAGATCATCATTATAAATTAACAGTAATCCATATGACACAATGAGACAGAGAGACAGGCTGTCCAGGCACCGCTGTGATATGAGTTAACCTGAGAGACAGTGGAGCACAAAGGCTCCGGAGAAGAAGCAGAGTTAGTGACATGCAGTACAGCTGAGTTAGTGACACGCAGTAACAGGTTCCCTCTCACATATATGAAACTAAAGACATCATGTTATAAAGGTAAAAACTAAACAGTTTTATCATCATCATCAGTGTGCAGAGTGTACAGAGTGTGCAGAGTGTAAAGAGTGTAAAGAGTGTGAAGAGTGTGCAGACTGTACAGAGTGTGCAGAGTGTGCAGAGTGTAAAGAGTGTGCAGAGTGTGCAGAGTGTGCAGAGTGTAAAGAGTGTGCATACTGTACAGAGTGTGCAGAGTGTACAGAGTGTAAAGAGTGTGCAGAGTGTACAGAGTGTACAGTGTACAGAGTGTAAAGAGTGTGCAGAGTGTGCAGAGTGTACAGAGTGTACAGATTGTAAAGAGTGTACAGAGTGTGCAGAGTGTGCAGACTGTACAGAGTGTGCAGAGTGTATAGAGTGTAAAGAGTGCACAGAGTGTGCAGAGTGTACAGAGTGTACAGACTGTAAAGACTGTACAGTGTGCAGAGTGTGCAGAGTGTGCAGACTGTACAGAGTGTGCAGAGTATACAGAGTGTAAAGAGTGTGCAGAGTGTGCAGAGTGTACAGAGTGTGCAGAGTGTACAGAGTGTGCAGAGTGTGCAGAGTGTAAAGAGTGTGCAGACTGTACAGAGTGTACAGAGTGTGCAGAGTGTAAAGAGTGTACAGAGTGTGCAGAGTGTGCAGACTGTACAGAGTGTGCAGAGTGTACAGAGTGTGCAGAGTGTGCAGACTGTACAGAGTGTACAGAGTGTAAAGAGTGTGCAGACTGTACAGAATGTACAGAGTGTAAAGAGTGTGCAGAGGTCTGCAGGTGGAACGAGACTGATAACTGTGTGAAAATGTTTCTATCTGTGTCTGTTTTCAAAAAGAGTCTGCAGCAGCAGTAACTACAAATATGTTAAAGCATGAACACTTTAAACAGCCGGTGACTTCTGAACCAGTTACACTCAGATCTGTTTATGCTGTGCTGCCATGTGTTTCTATTTTTATTATCTCACCTGTGAAACCAGAGTTCAGACTGATGGAATAAATGTGTTGGGACCATTTAGTCATTAGCATCAGGTTAGTTTAGTCTCCAGGTGTTTGCTCGGTCTCAGGAGTTCTGAAGGTTATAAATGTCACTGTATGTTACCTGCACTTTCTTTCCTTAAATGTCGACGACGTGTTCATAAACACAGTTTGAAATATAATGTGCCTCATGTCTGGTCCCTGATCTCAAACTTTCGACAGCTCATCAGAGTGTCCCGTCTCACATCTCTCTTATTTCTTACGAACCGTTCATGAACTTCCCTTTTTATCTGTTTCTGTGAATAAATGTGTGAATTGATTTTACACATCAGAAATATTAACAGACGTGTGTGTAGATGACGGGACGTGATGGGACACGACTGTAGACTCTCTGACAAATGATTAATTCCAATGAAACCTTCAGATTATTGATACAGAAAATTATAGCTGCTGATGTGTTATTGATCTATCAGGATAGAAATTCAGTCTTTCACCAGCTGCAGAGTCATCGACTCATTTATTCATCAATAATTATAATATGTTCACATCTATGTTAACTCTCTGCAGCTGCTCATCTGACAAAACAAGACAATTATTGATTATTGATCACCTTGTGCTATGACTACATGTTTCATGGTTCACTGATGATTTGTTAATCAGAGGATTCATTGATTACTGAACAGAATCATCTTTAATGAAAACAGTCGTTAGATACAAACATGGAAACATGAGGTGACGTCAGGTCACAAGTTTTGGTTATTCATGTCATCATGTTGTTATAAACAAGAAAAAGCCAGCAACACTCGGTGTCCTTCGTTACAAACTTTTAATACCTCACTGGTACAGGCGATCAAACACACAGACCGGTTTGGACAAGTGTCTTTCTCAGTGTGTGAAATGATAGAAAACAGGGTGAGAAATGCAAAAATAACATGCATTCCCAATCTCACAGCTGCATGGCATTAGACAATCACCAGAGCACCAAGCAGAATCCTGATAATCATAGAAAATCATCTCATAGAAAAGAAAAAAGAAAAAAGTACAAAACATGTATCAGTAGGTATTAAATAGACCAATATCGAGAAAACATATCTACAATATAAAGTGCCTAAGAATAATAAATATTTACTGAGTACACCCAAAAAAATATAAATATATACAAAATACTGCCTGTCAGCAAATGGTACAGTAAAAATATATATAAAGTGCCACAGGTCAATTATATTATTTATATATATTATAATCATATTATTATTATGATGAGGGGCGGCTGTGGCTCAGAGGTAGAGCGGGTCGTCCACCAATCAAAAGATCAGCGGTTCAATCCCGGCTCCTCCAGGCTGCATGTCGAAGTACCCTTGAGCAAGATACTGAACCCCAAATTGCTCCGGATGGCTGTTCCATGTGTGAGTGTGTTAAAAAACTGAGTAGCAGGTGGGACCTTGTATGGTAGCCTCGGCCACCAGTGTATGAATGTGTGTGTGAATGGGTGAACGTGACTTGTAGTGTAAAAAGCGCTTTGAGTGGCCACTAGATGACTAGAAAGGCGCTATACAAATGCAGGTCCATTTACCATGTTCTACTGCTTTGACCTGTGGCACTTTATATATATTTTTACTGTACCATTTGCTGCCAGGCAGTATTTTGTATATGTTTATATTTTTTTGGGTGTACTCAGTAAATATTTATTACTCTTAGGCACTTTATATTGTAGATATGTTTTCTCGATATTGGTCTATTTAATACCTACTGATACATGTTTTGTACTTTTTTCTTTTTTCTCTTCTATGAGATGATTTTCTATGATTATCAGGATTCTGCTTGGTGCTCTGGTGATTGTCTAATGCCATGCAGCTGTGAGATTGGGAATGCAGGTTATTTTTGCATTTCTCACCCTGTTTTCTATCATTTCACACACTGAGGAAGACACTTGTCCAAACCGGTCTGTGTGTTTGATCGCCTGTACCAGTGAGGTACCTATTAAAAGTTTGTAACGAAGGACACCGAGTGTTGCTGGCTTTTTCTTGTTTATACTGTTGCTCTGTGGCCGAGCAGCACCTCCAGACTTGTTTCTTCTTTTCTGAGAGTGCGTGTTGTCTTTCTTCACTGACATCATGTTGTTGTTCCCTGACGTTTCACCGCCGTCACGTGATGACAGAGAAAATAAACAGTCACTTCCTCCATCAGCTGACCGATCGACCCTCTCCTTCGCTCACCGTTTGTAATCAACACACAGACAGCACTAATCGATCGAACACAGCAGTCGATCCCAGAGAGAGTCGATCCGTGACTGTTGCTCATCAGAACCGGAAATCAGGTGAAGACAGACGGTGACCCGACAGCAGGGTCCGACCCAGAGCTCTCAGACATGGTCTTCGAGTCTCTTGTTAGCGACCTGCTCAACAGGTTCATCGGAGACTACGTGGAGAACCTGGACAAGTCCCAGCTGAAGATCGGGATCTGGGGAGGTGAGCTCAGCGGCTAACTTTAGCTAGTAGCTACCGCGGTGACAGTGACGGGACCAGAGTCCGTTCAGAAATATCGTAATTTAAGACTCCTTCCTGTGTAAACTGATGTCAGCAGGTCTGATAACATGTGTGTTTACATCATGTTAAACACTAGGTTCTGTGTGTCACATCGGCGCAAACACAACACACTGATCAGTTTGTGTTCCGGGTTTATTCACCTGCTGTCCCCGCCATGTCTCCTCCAAACACAGTGAGAGTGGAGGCATGACGGTGAGCTTTGGTTCATTAGAGCAGGTGTCGGTGTTTCTGACCCATATCAGTGTGTCACACCGTCCACACACTAAACAGGGTTAATGAAACACACACACACACACACACACACACACACACACAAACACTATGTGTTTCCTGTAAAGCCCTCGTGATTTTTGTCATTATGAGATAATGAGAGTAACACACACACACACACTAACACACTACAAACACTCTCACAGACACTCATGGTACCATGGAAACAAACATTATAACATGAATGACTCAGCGTTTCCCCTGCCATCATAACAGGAGCATCACAACAGAAGTCCTCTAAGGTTACCGTTCCCACAGAACAGCTCTATACTTTATGTTATTGATTTTATCTGCACCACGCCACCTCATCTGCTCTACATGGGCGCCTTTACAATTCTCCTCTGCTCTCACGCATGGTGGAGTTCCACTCCGATGTGCGCGCACACACACACACACACACACACACACTCTAACAAATGCACACACACACACACACACACACACACACACACACACACACAC